TTCCGGTCATCTGCTGAGCATTCAATAACCCAAAACCAACTCAAAATCGCTAAAACCATCTACAATGAAGTCTCTTAATCTTATAAAATAAAATTTATAACATTTTCAAAAATTTGAAAAGATGTGGCCCCAGTGTCAATTTTCTCCTGATGGATGGGGTTCACAACTGAGAAAGTAAAAATGCGTTTTCTCTTTGTTTTTCTTATTTTTCTCTAGGTATGAAGCAACCAAAGTTAGCATGCAAAAAGTATAATTATGCCTCTTTCAAAATGGTGAATTTCATGGCCTCTGGTTTAAAACAGGAATCGAATTCAATTGTTAGAAAGTTGTTGCATGACACTCAGGTAACATATAAGGCACATGGGACTCTTGTTTCAAGAAAAGAGTGATGATAGAGAAAAAAAATATGTTTTCCATTTATTCCAATATGTCTTGAATTTTCTTTAGGTGTTGATCCGGTGTTGCTATTTTCGAAAAATGGCTCCAGATCAAACAAATCCAAGTTGTAAACAATAGGGGAAGAAATCCATTACGAAAATTCTGCTGCAATAACTCTCCACATTTAGGGGAAAACATCACAATTGCTTTAAAAAAAGAGAGGAACATTATCACAATTCTTTACATATAGCTTACAACAGATCTGTTGAGTTGTATAGGAGTGTGTGGGTTGGGTTGGTTGGATGTATGGGTAATTGACCACTCAATGTGTTGATCTTCAACATAAGGAATTAATCTGGGAGGAGTAAATTACAAATATTAGCTGGTATATTCGTCTTTTACTTTTACACGTTCAATCAGTCTTCCTTTCTGTGATTAAGAAACCTTTCCTAATAGAGGTATTGCATCAGGGTTGCTTTTGTCATATCTCTTTATTCATCTGTAAGGCTTGTTAACATATATACCCCATTTTCAATTCACTAAGACACCATTCTGTTACAGAGGTAAAATGCTATACTATTCAAATTTGGTCAGTTTTAAATTAGCCAATATGTAGAAGAAGGATATGGAGATAACAAAAAGAATTCATTATCAAAGTCCATGAAACAATACAAAATATGAGCAGAGCAAACACGGACCTCCGAAACATCAGAGGTGGGATCAGGTGGCATGGAGGAGTAAGCATCCCCTGCCGACTGGTCACACCCGCCCTGTGCTCCTTGTAGAAAAAGCGAACAGGGTGGATAAAAAAGAGGAAAATAAAACAAGAAAACAATGTTTTGAGGTTGTCCGTCTGTCTTTTCAAACAGAAAAAGAAAAAAAATATTTTGAACTGTAACCTGATATATATGAATGAATCATGATTTAATGTCTTCCCATAATGACTATTCCCTCCTTTACACAGATCAAATCAAATTTAGTGAGTAAATACATGTATACATTACATTTCTCGATTTTAAAGTAAAATATGACTTTGTAGAGAATCAAAAAAGCACAGTGTTTTGATTATGTTAAAGGATATAATGAAACTGATAACTTTAGAAGAATCAGTAAATAATACAAATCATGAATAGGACATAAACATAGACACCTGGGAATATTGGAGGTGGGATCCTTTCCTGTCGACCAGTACATGTAACACCTACCGTCCTGCTCATGTGCTGATCTGGATGACGGAGTACAATGTACTTTATAGTCAAATTAATTATAAGAGTAACAATCTAAGAAATAATGCAAAATAAGGCAACTATGTTATGGTCTCTGAAGGGTTTGTATGCATTAAAGATTGCTTGGTGTATAAAACGGAGGATGGCGTCTACATAATGGAGGGTCAGAGCGTGCAAGGGGTGTAGATTCAAGTTTTTACAAATCATTACCTCCGGGCTTAGGGTTGGGCCAACAATAAACAATCAAATTTTGACATAGGAATATATAATAAAAATCTTTAAAAAATCTTCGCATGAAAAAAATGGTTAGTAATATTTATATGGTAGCATCCTGGGGTAGTGTACATTCAAGGTTGTTAAAAATTTAACTCCTGGGGAAGATTTGGGGCCACAGTGGATGATCAAAGGTTAATATACATATAGAAATATATAGAAAAAAAAACCTTTTTTATTTAACAGCAAAACGATGGTTGGTCAAATTTCTTTGAAAGATTTTATAGGTAGTGTAGTTAAATGTTGTTGAAATCATGACCCTTTGGATAAGGTGGAACCTCAATTGACAATTGCCACATTAAAATCTAAATTTATTTGAATTGTTACATTTGAACACGCAGGCAAAATTCTATTACCCTGTTGTGAGCCTCCGTTTTTCACTTTGTACATATATAACCTTTTCTAAGCCTCAGATCACTGCACCTTGAAAGTAAGTTTGAGTCCTGCGAGAGAAGGACGTCGACGGTCCTAAACTTCTCTAGATTTTGTCACGTTTTGCAATAAAATAGTCAAGGCATACTTCACCATAGTTTAGCTGTTATTGTCAATAAGTAGTGTCCTTCTTTTTTGAGATGTCCATGTACCAGACACGGCCACATCTAGAGTCTTGAGCGCAAGACGTATATCTTTGCCTTGTGTGTGTATGTGTGTGTAGGCCTACACAACAGCACATGTAGGACAGGAGGAAGGATTTCCAAACCAGTCCGGAGACCAATTGTATCCGTATTTAGGACAAGCGAACTTGTCATCGCCAAGCTCAGCTGAACACTGACAGTTATCGAGTTTATGTTGTATATTTTGGTTTATTAAATGTAATGTTTTATAATTTAAAGGAAATTTGGTTGTAAATAATCTAAAAAAAATGGCGGTTTGGATCAACATCCCATAAGCTTGGTCATAAACATGACAACAATGAAAGTTTAGCATAGGAGTACATGTAAATAGTCAAATATCTTCCTCTCAAGAACAAAAAAGCTACGATTGCTCACATTAATCATGTGAAAGCATCCACAGGTAGTGTAGATTCAAGTTGTTCAAATTGTACCCACCCCCCTTTACTTTTAGGAGTAGTTCGGGACCACTCAAGCATTAAAACTTTTTAACACTAAACTGTTTTTTTCTTTTTTTTTTCTAACCACAGTACTCAGGTGAGCGATGTGGCCCTTTGGCCTCTTGTTCTTAATTGTTTTTAAAATATACATTATGAGAAAGAAATATAAATATCAATTGCACATGATTACCATAATAACAGTTCACTGAATTTTAAACCAATAATTGAGACACCGGGTTTAAACATAAACGTCAACAAATCTAAATGCCATATGAAAAGATTATAAAAATTATGACACTTTCACCCTCATGACTGCTCAAGTTTGCAGTATCTTAATGTCAGATCTATTATAAAGTCATATCCTGGTAGTTCAGAGAAGTAACAGCAGCTGGTACTTATAATTTTTTTTTTTCGGAAATCCTTATCCTGCGCATTTAGATGTATACATATATACAGCTAAATGCTATATATATGAAAAGTCGATGTAACACAGGTGAAAATATTTATAAAGGAAAACGAAAATGCAGTTTTCAAATTTCATTTAGCACAAGCGCTTTCTGGATTTCATAATCCGTCTTCAGGTGTACATAAATTGAACTCAGTTGAATTTCAATTTATGTACACCTGAAGACGGATTATGAAATCCAGAAAGCGCTTGTGCTAAATGAAATTTGGCAACTGCATTTTCTTTTTCCTTTATAATTATATATATATATATATATATATATATATATATATATATATATATATATATATATATATATATATATATATGTCTGACAATTAGCGAACCAAAAATCGTTGCGTAAGCAATATGAGTCTTTCAAGCAGCCCTGGATTATGAAAAAAACTGGCCATTAAAAACCTTGTAATTTCAAACTATTTGTCAGTAACGTGCCTTGGTTTAAAGACTTATCGTGTTCAGAGCATGTAGAATCAGTTAGAGACGTAAATACCATATGCTTTTGATGTCAGAATACTTCTCTACTGCTGCATAAACAAGGAAAGTTGTCGTCAAAAAAAAAAGAAAAAAAAAAAATCCTGTTTTTTATTGGATAGATAATCTGTATTACGTGTTTTCTTCTCACATGATAATTTGTCACTTATTCCAAATTTTTGGCTTAGTGAATGTCTGAATATCGAACCTTCTCAGTGTTGATTAAAAATGCAGTATTTATTTCTCGGAACCTTGATGACTATATATCTATTCAAAATGACATTTTCTCTCTATAATCAATGCATTTTGACGTCATAAAATGTGTCATTATAACCTATCTTGGAAATTCCTTTAAAACGGCCAAAGATTAAAGTATATTTTTCGTAAAACGAGGAACAGAACCTCTAATCTAAATATTCAAATACATCATGTGAGGTGTGTTTTTGAAGATCATAAAAAAGTTAAATTGTTGGATTGAGGACTTAGCTTATTTCTTTGCTGAAGGTGGGTCGAATACATCTGTTTTCTGTTAAAAGATTAGCAACACTGCATTTTAAAAACAGTTTTCAAATGATTGGATTCTCAAAAAAATGTTATAGAAAGTGAACATATTAAATATTTATTTTATCTTGAAATATGAATGGGACAGAGGGTGATAGATTACCACATAGAAAGAAATGGACATTTAATGCAGGAAATGAACTAAGCTCTTTTATGTAGTGTTTGTTACTTTTATTACATATTTTTCTCATGTAGATCCAGTCCATGATAAGGTTAGATAGTTTGATATAAAATTTAAGCATATCGTTGAGAGAGCTACATGTACTGTAATATATTTGTAAACTTTTAGAAACAAACTCATGCTACTTGGTTTTTCACTTTTTACTTATGAATCTAAAAAAAACAAGTTTACAGCTGGTTGTCACACACTAGCGTAAGAAAAATTTAACAGTATTTCTTTTTTCTGAGGATCAGGAGATAAGAATTAAATTAAAAATTTAATTATGAGACTTTAACTTAGACACAAGGTCCCTGTAATTATGTTCCTTGAAAACATGAAAATGTACATGTCCTTGTATCGGTGCAGATTTAAAAAAATCGTTTTTGTATTTTCACATTTTGATTTGAACATCAATACAGAAAAGATATTTAAACAGCATGATTATTCAAGCTTTCAAAGTCATAACTTCGTCTGTTTCAAAAGAAGTAGAACTGATATCGCAAAATGTACAGTTTACTTTCTTTCTAATAACGATAAAAAAAATCAGTATTATCATAGTAAGAATTACAACTAATGGTGCTGAGATAAGGACTGGAAAAAAATCTTCCTCGGATCGCACACTGAAAATGAAAGAAAAAATTTCACTAAAAAAAATTCAATTCAGTTTGAAAATGATAGGATATCTATTTGATAAATGAATAAATAGATAATAAAATGTAAAAATATGTCACCGAATTGCACACTCACCTATTATCCAAAGAACTATTTTTCGTAGGATTAGTCGTTGGTAAAATATTTAAAAAATTAGATGGTGGATATGAAGAAGTAGATGCCGAAAAGTCCTTAACATTGGCATAGCATTCCTCGTCTAAAAAGAGAAACATACAACTTTATTCCAGCTGTAAGTACGCCAGGGCAGTACAAATAAAACAACAAATATAACTTAAAAATCATATTTTCATTATGATACTTTGCTAAAAGTTAAAGAAATAATATATATTTCCTTACACTTATATGCATCTGTCGAAATATACCTAAATGGACATTTTGAGCAGGCTGCTTGACTTGAATAATGCTCTTGAATAAATTCGCCTCCAGAATTAAATTCTACACATGCATAACCTGCAATTTCAAATTTACAAAAATTAATGTAGAAACAGATACACTGTAAAAAAAAATGCAGTCTCTATTTAATTGTTTTTCTACCTTTACCGAATATTACCCAGAGGGAAAAAATATCTATAGTTGAGATATTTGTTTGTTTTCTTTTTGTTTGTATTTGTTTTTTTAGATTTCCATTTATCAGTCAGAATTTCATTGCCTTCTTAAGATTCATTTTTTTTCCACAGAAATCTTTTTTTCTTACCTACAATTTTTGTTACAACTGCACAGACCTCAACTGATTGATTGCCGTATTCATTTAAAACACAATGGTATCGAAAGTCTTCAGCCTCTGTACAGTTCTGTTGTAAGGATTTACATCCTAGAATATCCTCCCTTCTTTCAAACGCATGCTTGTCTTTTGGACAAAACCCTCCAAGAATGACTGTTTCAAGTGACGCCTCACAAGAGATTCTCTGTTAAACAGGTTTATATTTAAAGAAGCGTGTTTTATACCAAATATAAAAACGAATGTAAATAATAAATTTTTTGAAGATCAAAATATATAAATTTGACTTGCTGTATAGTATAAACTGAACCAAACCTCTAAGTGTTCACCGAATATTTTTTAAAAGAAAAAATGCATACAATAAATAATTTCTTTAATCTATGGTTAATGAGGCATATTTAAGTTCAATGTTACGTAAATTTCATGGTAGTATCTGGTTAGAATATTAAGCAAAGTGTCAAGGAGATGATTTACCCTCAAAATGAAAATTCACACAGAAAAACCCTCTATGGAGTAAAACCACCCCTCGCTTTAATTACTACTAGACAATCTTTACTGTTGAATACCATGTACCCCTAAATAGGAGATTGACCCATCTGCATCACACTTACTGCATAGATCAACCGTTGAAATTGTTTGGAAGGGGAGGGGCTTTGACATTCTTTATAAAAATCCCAAATGTGTTCAAAGGATTCGGATCTGGGAATTTGACAGTCTATCATCCCACCGATGCCTCTTGCTCATTATTTTCAGGTGTTTATCATGTAAGTGCACCGCTTTAAGGATGATTCAGACTGCCTGAACTGATATTAGACTGTCACTAGCACCGATTTCGTATCATTTTCATACGAAATAATTGTTTGTTTTCATGTTTCTAAGATTATTTCGGGACAATTCATCAGTCATTTAACCTGGTGCGATGCGAAATTTTGACCTCAAGGGGAAGATCAAGGTCACATCCGGTTAAGTTAAATTTTGTCCAAACATTTCAAATTGTGATAAATTGGCGATGAAAAATGACGGACAGCCTATAGAAAAATGTGTTTAAATGGGTTTTGAAACCAGTTGTTAATTTTTAAAAGTAATATCAAGGACAATTAAACATTAAATAAAGTGAGTAAAACGTTGTGCAACACAAGGATGGTCCAGAAATCAACATTCCAACGCCTCTCCCTTCTATCTCAATGGTCATTTTGCCAATGTTCTATGTTTTTTTTTATTGAAACCAGTTTTTAAAATTTTATAATGGTCACAAAAAGATGCTGACTACACAAAACACATGCCACAAAGCACGGTTTTATTGATTTTAAACTTCGTCATCGGTTTTGATCGGTGATATTTTATTTTCTTTCTACAATTGTTCAGAGGACTCATTTGTTGTAATAATTTGAAAATATCATACCATTCTATTAAGCAGTTTTTTTAAATAAATGCATTTATTAAAGTGAACACCTAGAAGTCTTGTTAAGTGTATTTGTGAACTCAAAATGATGTAGAATATTATTAACGTTCAAATTGATATATTTTTTTCAAAAACCTGCAGGAGAGAGAGGATAAACGTTGGTGACGGATCCATTCTGCCTGAAAAAACCTTATCATATCAAAACCTTGTCAAAACCTTCTAGTATGAAAATAGATATTCATTACAATTATTTTTTTTAAAAAGGCATTATCATTGAAATACCTTTTTATTTGTTAGTCTGAGGGTCTAAATAAATTTAATTTTTTTCTCAAAGAAAAAATATTACATCATCACTAACTTTCTTTTATAGCCATTGGATCCGTCACTGTGAAACAAAAGTTATACATACATTTTCTCTTTTTGCTCTCCCAGCATTTGCAAGTACTATGAGTAGTACTGACAAGAGCAGCAGGATGAAGAGAGACACACACCCCTGGCGCAGATTCTGTGTTTTTGGCTGACATGCCTTCATCAGAAGGGTAACGACTATGAGACTGCCAAGAGAAAAACAGTTTTAAAAGAAAATTATATACACGTAACTTTTCTGAAATTCTGGAATAGTTTTATCATATAAATATATAGGTAATCATAAATTACAGAGCTCACTTCGACGAATGTTGTCTTTGATTAAGGCAAATTTTTATAGTAAACTAATAAATAAATCGAGCACTGTACATCCAAAGATGGAACATTTCCGCAATTTGGATCTGATAGGGATCATATTTATTGGATTTTAAACTTATCGAAAAGTTTAAAATCATCACTCATTCACAAAATGTTATTCAAATCCAGTATCTGAAGCAAGTTTATAGCAGTCATCCATTTTTGCATCATTCGTGAAAATTTGAAATCTGAGTAATTTATGACAAACACCCAAAATTTAAACTTCCATCAAAATTAACTAGAAAGGCATTCATTTCGATTTTTTTTATTTTTAAACTGAACCAAAAAAAAAAAAAAACAAAAAAAAAAAACAAAACAAACAAACAAACAAAAGCAAACACACGAACAGCTAATGATCGACTGTATTTCAAGTTCGAACAGCTAATGATCGACTGTATTTCAAGTTCCATTTTTATATTTAAAAAACATTTCTTCGATGACAACGTAGTTTTATTTTTATACCAATCTGACATGTTAAGTTTTGAAACTCTTCCATCTCCGGTGGAATACCCATATTGCTGACTTGTTTATAGGGAACCATATGTATTTTATATTAAAACGAATCGTGATATTTGATGAAAATAAAACTAATTAGTTCAATTAAAAGATAATAAATCATATCCATTTTTTTATTTGAGATTATAAATTTCGACCTTGTTCATTTACTTTTCCTAACTTAATCATTTGGATAATTTAAGTTAAAGAAGTGATGTACGCGCAGGCAGTGTGAGAGGAGTAAACATTTCTTTCCCTAGAGTAAGGTTCCGTTCATTGTAACTATAGCAATTCAAAACAATTTTAGTGTATAAATTAGAATCTATTCTATAATGAAGCATTTGAAAATCAAATTACTAAATTGAGACTTAAAAACTTCCTTTTGTTGCTAGTTATAGAATCATTTGGCATCTTGCCTGCAAAATTATTCCGCGGCACCTAGGTTTCCTATCGTTTCCTATATGTTAATTTTGCACTACGTTATACATCTCTCAGAGTAATGCTACTAGTAAATTTACGACAAAAAATTGTGATTGTTATGTTACAAACTATCCATGCCATGAAAGTTATAAAGTTTTGTCAACTTACCAACTTGCAAGCATATTATTTTCAAGTGCACAAAACCAGAACTTAAAGGATCGGTGAAAAAACAGATTACTTTTTTTTCGATGTTACAACGTAAATAAAAAGGCTTCCAAAAGGAGCTTTATTATTTTCTTTTTTAATTTTGGATCGAGTAAAAAACCTTGTACTGTATTAAAAATTGCAATTTAACAAATAATAATAATAAATATTTTTTTTAATCTAACTCAAGTTCTTTCAATGAGTTACTTCTTTTTGAAATATATAATATTTATAACCTTTTTGTAGCCCACAAGTATATACTTTGTCTTCTTTTAAAGATAAGTTAACTTTCATTGAATTTATTTCAGTTTTGGTTTTGTTCATTTGATGATGACATGACATAAACTTCTACTTCTAACATGAACACCTGTAGCAAAGTTCTCTGCGCATGTTTCCTGAGGACATTAGGAATGCAACAAAATTATAAAATACGATGATTGGTTAAAATGGATATAGATTAAATACCCAACACGTGATTCCTGAAAACATGTTTCTATATTGCATTGTTAAAATTCTTGTCCTTACTCCTAGTAAAAATGGAATACTGAGATACTGTAGACGTACTTATTTCCGCATGATATTATTTTACACTATGTTGAAAGTTGTCACAAGTTGTCCGTGGAAATTTATCCCATCGTATTCAAAACATATGTAAGGATTATAGTGAAAGTCTAAGAAATATTTGTAATGTTTTACCCGTGGATTGAAAAAGAATAGAAATTCCACAGAATTATTACCCCGTGGAAAATAGTACGTCTACAGTATTCTGAACAGGTTAACTGGGTTGAATGGAGACACCACTCAGTGTTTTATTAAGATTGTCAATGTATAGAGAAAGGAAGGACAAATATTGTTTAAAGGGTAACTTGCACAGTTTTTAGTGAATAGATACATTCATCACGTATTGATCTAATCCTACTAACTTTATTCATAATTGAATATTGTTTAAATTAAAGTATTGATCTCTAAAGCTAAATTTTGCAATTATAATGGCCTACCCTTTATACATATCTTTTATGCACTACGTACAATAATTGAGATCTTAAATTAAATGTTGCAATCATAACCTGCCTATAATATAGTATCTTGTCATGTTCTTTATTCTGCTGAACAACTCAGGGACCTTATTTAGTAAGAGTGTCAATGCTGAATTTATTTCTTTATTCTTTGCATGCTGACTAGAATGTCTCTTTTCCTAACCGATTTAATGTTAGTTATCCATATCCTGATACCCTTCTTATATTAATCTTATCTTTTTCTGTGTGAAATCTATATCAGTGCTACAAAGGGGTATAATGCTAGCAGAATTTAAGAAAAAATGCCTACGGGCCTAATAATTAAGTAACATGAGTATCATACAAAAATTGAATTGGTTCGTATTTTTAACCAGACGCCATGAAATTCACTATTTTTGAAGAGGAAAGTGTCATCAGAGTCATCATAACAGTATACTTAGAATATATGGCATGCTTATTTTGTTTACATTATATCCAGAGAAAGACCAGAAGGAAAAGGGAACAAGAGGCTCAAGGGCCTCAAAGTTCACCATGGTATTATACAATACTGTAAATGATCTATATATTAAATAATTTTACCCAAGAATTTCAAAAATCTTGTAAAAATAGTCATTGCTTATTGGATCATATTTGGTTTTTAAAAGTATTACGAGGTGACAATAAATCCCATATACAACTAGAAAAAACATTGTGTATAATAAACACTGTATAACGATATGGTTTTGTCACTATTCTAGTGCTACAAGTCAAATATACAATGTGACTATTTGCCACGTGTCACTAGTTCAATAATTCACCCTGGCTTTCTGGTATTCTTCTGTTTAAAATAATAAACTATAAGTCTAGTCTTTATTAAGTATAAATCAACTATACATGTAGCTACTGTAGTCATTTGTCAACCATGACAACTATCTCAGAGAAAACATACTGTGTATAATTACAACTACATTTATATAAACAATCTCTAATTCAATTTTTTATAATGCTTTCGATAAAAAAATCCGATTTTTAGCCTGCTTTGCTAATTAAAACCAAACATTCATTGTTTTATATATATATATATATATATATATATATTCATGTATATTACATTCTTTCTTGTATTCTCATTCAATCAAACAACATGTTAATTAAAGACAGTATATATAGGGAGTTTCTGATTAACAACATTTTGCAATGTGGAGTAACTCTCATTTGCTTAACTTATCACATGTGTGTTTATTGTTTGACTGTTTAATACCCTGAAGTAAAGAAAATGCACAATATCTTATAATTATATTTCAAACAATTACGTAGATATTATTGCATTTAGTTTGCTTAATTCTCAGGGGCAGAGGAGAGGATTTTCAAAGCATTAGGAGTTTTCCTATAATCAATGTTTAAAGTTCCACCCATGCGCAAGAACAAGCCCAGGAATCATGGAATTTTTAACCATTAAAGATGCATCTTTTTCTCATCAAGAGTGTGCCTATTTCCAAATGTACTAAAAATTGCAAATTTAAAATCACATGGTTTCAACGACCACAAGAATAAGGAAGGAGGGCGTTCTAGAACACATTTTGCAATTTTTTATTGTGAATACGATGCGACTTTTTAGAAGTACACCACAATACAGCTGTGGACAGGATATTGCCCATTTAAAAACTAATTAACATGATGTCTCTTTTGATTTCCTTTAAATCTCACGTCAATGAACAATTATCTTTTTCTCGCATTTTTGCAAAACTTTAATCGATTCACTTATTTTTAAATGGATTATTTAAAGAATTTGAAAGAAGTTCATGCTTTGATTTTTGATCTGCATAATATAAGCCTATGTCTGGTGATAATGTATGTTGCCCAGAACGGGTGTGCAGAAAAAGAATGTGTGCTCGAACTTATTATTATTTAGTAATATTCTTAATTATAAAATATTCACTCTACTACACTATGTGTATCCCACATTTTGACAGAAATTCTAGATTTTTTAATTGTCAGCAAAATTCACAATACTTTAATATTGAACAGTTAAAACAGAAAGCTCTGACGTGTAAATGTTTTTTTTTCTTCATAAAGATTTCTGTATGATACACTGTATTTTACTCAACAGTGATGTTGATATCGCTATAAATTGTCAACTTTTACATCATAAATCACACTTTGTGCAAAATATGAAGAGATATTCTTCTAGCAGTTACATGTGCATATATCTGTATGTTCTCTTCCCTTTCGTATTTTTTTTTCTAATTTACAAAATACTCTATAATAAACCAGGTTAATATTCTTTAATTCATAGATAAACAAATTATGTAAAATAATTTTACAGCCAAAAGATGTAAATTAAAATATTTAAAATGAAATATGAAACCAAGTGCAAGTTGCTAGATATTCTGGAAATTGTCTCAGTGAAATATTTAAACAATTTAAACCCTCCGACCTCTGTTACTCGTGCAGATCCATTCAGCTTTCAATCGATAAAACGTACGCTGACCTACTTAATTAAGACTGTATTTTGGTATTTGAATAGGGAGATAACTATGCACAATTTTTTTTTCGCTATGACGGACAGTATTAAACCCTTGATTCGAAAATCTACGAAGTCTTTTGTATACGTTTATGTACATTAACTATGTTCTGAAGTCTTTTGTATACTTTCTTGTATGTTCTTTTTTTTTTTTTTTTTTTTTTTTTTTTTTTAAGTGTATTTTTAATGCATG